TGTGAGTTTGAGGCCAGCCTGGTCTATGGAGTGAATTCCAGGACAGGCTCCAAAGTGACACAGAGAAACCCTGTCTCGAGACACACCCCCCCCCAAAAAAAAAAAAAAACAAAAACCAAAAAACCAGCCATTTTAAGGTCCAGTCCAAGCCCCTGGTGCCAGACAGCAGACTGAAGATAGTAGTACTATTTGTGAACCCAGAAACCTGCACATGTGTGGTTAACAGTCCCTCCTGACTTGTTAGAAGGGATGTCCACTTTATTAGCCATTAGTGGTGGTATCTTGTGTTTCAGAGGGTCACCAGAGCCTGGAGTGATGACTCATTTCCTTTTCTTGTCAGACTGTGACCAGAGCACTGAACATCAGCCCAAATGACACAGCTAGTGGGAGCTGCAATCTCCGTGTGGTGACTCTGAGAGTGGAGAGCAAGAACAGTACCCTGGATTTGAAGTTTGGGATGGTGAGTCTCTGTTCTCTTTCATCATGTGGGACATAGCGGGCTGTGGTGCCATCTGGAGTGACTAAGGGGAAGGTAGAGGTGGCACCCTCTTTTGCACCCACTCAGTGTCATAGGGCTTCTAAGTTTCCTTCCTCACTTCTCACCAACAAACACCCTCTGCACATATTTGGGGGACCTGTTAATGGGGGTGGCTGCAAAGAGCAGTGTGTGAAGCCAGGCTGTACTGCCTATTTCTCATTGCCCTTCTTTCTACTACTTGTACATGTATAGTTAGCAAAGTTGAAATATGTAAGCAGCATGTCAGTGTCTGTTTATTTCTGTAATGCTAGGTAATGTATGTGCCCACTGCCTCCTGTGTGTCTCCCAACAGTATTCCTGCCAGCACAACCATTTTAATATGACACACATAAGAGCTCATTCATAATTTCTTGTAATAGATTTGAACTTTGTTGTATTATTCAAAGGATTTTTTTAAATAGCATAGTTCCTGTCATACTCAATTTTAGTGGATAAGCTGGTTCTAACAGGTCTGGGAGGATGTGAGCATATTAGTGCATGTTTTATAATCCAAGTACGGGCCGGAGAGATGGCTCAGCTGTTAAAGGCTAGGCTCACAATCAAAAATATAAGCCAAATACTGAGAGATTCAGACAGGAGCATGAGTTCAAGACTTCACTGGGCTACATAGCAACACCCTCTACAAAAGGAAAAAGTCTGAAGTGAGCTATCCAAATGTTTGCTTTGCTTTTATGCTACAAATGCAGAAGTCCTGTTGACCAGATGACACCCACCATGCTGTAAGTGACTGATGGCTGTTTTTTCTTTCAGAATGGCAGTTCTAGCCTGTTTTTCCTACAAGAAGTCCAGTTGAACATAACTCTTCTTGATGCCAAAGGTGAGATTTGCTTCTTCCTTCCTATGGCTCATGTGCTCCTCATCCAGTAGGCCCTGCGATTGAGCAGACTCTGTCTCACATTACAGACCCCAAACTCTTCGCCTCCAACCAGTCACTGAGAGCTCTTCAGGCCACGATTGGGAACTCCTACAAGTGCAACACTGAGGAGCACATCTATGTCACCAAGGAGTTTTCTCTCAATGTCTTCAGCGTTCAGGTCCAGGCTTTCAAGGTTGAAAGTGACAGGTTTGGGTCTGGTAAGTAGCATCCATAGTAACAGTGACAGCAGATGCATTTCAGATATTCTTGTGGAACTAGGACATCAGGGCAGCGCCCTTTTTCTTCACAGAGAGCTTTCCCTTCTTCCCCTGTGAGGAAGGAACTATAGCCATAGATATGTGAGACAAGGATGCCATGGATGAGAAAAGACATTAGGAAAGGGACAATAGTGTCTCTCTCTGAAAGTGGTCTCCAGGGCACTTCCTGTCTTGAGGGACCTGTGCCTAGATACAGCACAGTTGACCGTTGGTCCAGTGTGATCGGCACTTTTCATTCTAACCTGGGTGGAGCATACGTGGGATTGCCCAGCTGCATAGAGAACACTCATGTTGTGTCTTCCCATCGCCCCTACCTTGTCCTCATCCTTTCCCCTCAGGAACAGGTGGGGGGGGTGAACCCAGTAGTGAATATACTGGCTGTCTTTCTTGCAGTGGAAGAGTGTATGCAGGATGGTAACAACATGCTGATCCCCATTGCTGTGGGTGGTGCCCTGGCAGGGCTCGTCCTCATCGTCCTCATCGCCTACCTCATCGGCAGGAAGAGGAGTCATGCTGGCTACCAGACCATCTAGCCAGTTGGTGGGCAGGTGTGCTGCGCCACAGACGCACAGGGGCCTGTTCTTATGTCCCCGGGCTTAGATAGGTGTGGAAGGGAGGCACACTTTCTGGCAAACTGTTTTCAAATCTGCTTTATCAAATGTGAAGTTCATCTTGCAACATTTACTATGCACAAAGGAATAACTATTGAAATGATGGTGTTAATTTTGCTAACTGGGTTAAATATTTTGCTAACTGGTTAAATGTTAATGTTACCAAAGTAGAGCTCTAAGGAGGACAAGAAGGGTTTCAGAATCGCACGGCTCCCCCATTTGACTTTTTTAAGACTTGGTGTTTGGTTTCTTCATCCTGTTACTCAGATTTAAGCCTTACAAAGGGAATCTCTGGCCCGAACACTTGGGCGTGGTAAGGGCGGCTGATCTTCAGGCTGCACACTGAAGATGCTAGAAGGGAAGAGCAGGGAGGCCCTGCTGCAGAGTCATGCACAGGGTCAACCTCTGGACAGGCTTGGGTAGCCTGGCCTAGGGGCCAGAATCTGGCATCTGGCTGGGCATAACTACCAGTGTTCTGCTGTGCTCTGCCACTGAGCTGGTACTTTTCTAAATAGAAAAAGGCATTATTTTTATTTACTTTTTGTAAAGTGATTTCCAGTCTTCTGTTGGTGTTGAGGGTGGCCCCGTTTCTGCACTGTGTACAATAATAGATTCACACTGCTGACCTGTCCTGCAGCGTAGGTAGGTTGTACACTGAGGACCAGCTCACGTAATGCATTGCCTGTAACGATGCTAATAAAAAGTCTCCTTCTTTGTCTGTCTGAACTTGTGTTTTTGTGATCCAAGAAAGCCCTAAGAGTGGTGCTGATGGTGTGTGGGGAATCCGTGTGTGGTGAAATTGTGCTGCTCATGTGCTTAGGTGGGACAAAGTTAGGATAGCCAGCCTTCTGCTTAGCCCGTGAGAAAACTAAATGGAGTTTTGTTGTTAAGGAAATGTTACTTGTCATGGTTCTAGATGCTAGGTGATTTGTTGTTTTGAGGCAGGGTTTCATGTAGCTGAGGCTGGCCTTGAGCTTTCCATGTAACAAAGGGTGCTTTAAGGTTGTCCTCCTGCTTCTGCCTCCCAGTGCTGGGATGAGAAGCATGTGCTACCATGTCTGCTTTTAAATGAGTCATAATTGATAATAATATGGCCATATAATTATAATCTCCAGGTGAGTCGCACCTGTGTCACAAGAACCACATACACATCAAACATTGGGTGAGTTGAAGAGGCCTGGGGCTGTTTCCTTGAAGCTCTCATCTGTCCACCCTCCTTTCTGTCCTCAGCCACAGGCTGTCTGTTGCAGACCAGGTCATGCCAGATGGGGCAAGTGCACCCATCTACAGTGTCTCTGCTCACTCGAGGGTGGGATTTGTAAAAACTTGAGAGAGGTCCCATCCCCATCTTGTGGGCTGCCTCCCTCTGGATGCAGAATATAGAACAGGAGCCCTGGCTTCAGAAGCCAAAAGCAGTGCAGAGAATCCATATGGCAGGCACACCCAGGTCTGCCTTCTGGCCCTGGAACTTGAGCTTCTTGTCCTGTCAGCACAAGGGTCATAGACCCAGGCGCTAGGACTCCTTCCTTTGGGGAGAGGGATATGTACCTCCAGGCTGCAGGTTTTACCTTCCCAATCAAGGTAACAGGAGCAGCTTGAAGTCAGCTCTTTGAAAACGACTGAGCTGAAGGGAGCTCTGTTTCTTGATGAGTACAGACTCACTACTACTCAGACTAAGCATGTGAGAGAAACCTACCCATGTGACTCCCTACTGGTCCCCAGAGCCCTAGCACTCTCCTTGGCAGGCGACACTTACCTCCCTCCCACTATCCCTCACACCTAGTAGTACTAAGGAAAGCTGTCTCCAGCTGTACCTTGATGGAGGAGGAGGGTTAAACTGCCTTGGGAATTATCTACACAGAAGTGTCAGGTATAGCTCCTGGATGGTGTTAGTACACCCTGCCTCCAAAGGTTTGGGGCCATCTAGCTAAGGCTACTGGGAAGCTTTGATTAGTCCTTGGGGGAAGGGAGAGTCCTCTTTCAGCTTTCATACTTGCTGCAAGACAAGGGGCTGAGTACTTATTTGCAATCGATGGCAGCTGCCACTGATCAAGACTTGATGATCCAGCTTCAAGAACAGCCTGACCCCAGGGGAGATTTAGTGATGGCCTGCTAGGCTGTGCTGGGTCCACTGTGGGACATTAGGGTGGGTGTTTTGGAAGGTCAGCCTACTGAAGAGCCTGTCCACTAAATGATGGGCAGCCAGGGGACTGGGGCCTTTCCAGCCCTGCTATAATGTCCATTTCTAAAAAGCAAGGGATCGCCACAAGAAACTACATTGAGCAAGTGGGCTGCTCTGTCCCATCTGGCCCTCTCAGGGCCCTGTCTACAGCACACAGTCTTGGCTAGGAAAGTATCCTGGGAAGGTGGGAGTAGGCCTTCTCCTCCAGACAGACCACATCAGAGCCACACATGACAGTCACTATTTTAACTTTCAGTTAAATAACAATTAGGAAACTCAGTGCTGACCTCTATTCAACAAAACATGTACTTCATTATCTCATATTCTTAACATCTCAGATAAAATATATATATATTTTTTCCAGTGTGTGCATACGTCTCAAAGAACAACTTGAAAGAGCATTTTCTGCTTCCACATATGGGTCCCCAGGCCCTGCCAAGGTCATCAGGCCTGGTAGGCTCATGCTGAGCCATCTCACTGGACCAAGTAATTCAATTTATGACTCAAAGATGCATAAAAAAAAATTGTAGAACACTGATTTTAAATCATTGTCTTTTAAAAGTTCACATTAAGAGTTTTATGATTTCAAGTATTTACAACAGGAACAAAGTGGCAGGAATTGGTGAAGTGTCTGTTGTGCAAGCAGCAGCAGAGTAGGAGGTGTGCACTCAGCCCTGGGTCAGCAGTGTAGCTCGGCAACTCTCCCGGAGCCTGGTGATGGTTGTCATGGACAAGCTTCCTGGTTCTGAAAATATTTTCTGGAAGAGATTCAGAACATGTTTTTCCAAACAACCCCTCTTAACATATTTTCACTTTAGTTGGCCCATACAAGGCCTTAGGGCAGGTCTCTGTGAATTAGAGGCCAGCCTGGTGTACAAAAAAAAAAAAGCTGGGAGGTAGTAGCTCATATCTTTAATCCCAGCACTTGGGAGGCAGAGGCAAGTAGATCTGAGTTTCAGGTCACCCTGGTGTATAGAGTTGAGTTCCAGGACAGCTTTTGCTACACAGAGAAACCTTGTCTGAAAAGAAAGAAAGTTGGCACATAGCAGGCAGATCAACCTGCCAAGCTTACATGGAAATGGCCTGGGTGAGGATTCCACCTCCCAGAAGATATGGCAGCACAGTGTCCTGCACTAGAAGGGTTACCCCAAGACTGTCACAGGGCTGAATACACTTCACTTTTGGTTTCTACAAATTCCAAGCAAGAACAGTGACTACCACATTGCCAAGGTTCAGAGGTCAAACAACCAAGACGCTAAGTCTTGAAGTATTACACTGGAGCTTAGGGTCAGCTTCTGCCACATGAAGCAGGAATGGAGTGCCAGCGGAGGCCAGCTGAATGGAGACCAGGCAGTTTTCTGGGCCTGTGTCACCACACATCTCAAAGCATGTCTGAGATTGGTCACTTGGCACCCAAACTTGGAGTAACTGGAGGCACACAGCATAGGCCACATTTAGCTTCTACCCATGTTTGGAGCTCTGTACACCAGGCCTGTGAGGGCAGGACATGGAGGATGCATAGAAGTCAGCTAGCTCCTGTGAAAACAATCTCCAGGAACCAAGTCATCTCCCCAGACTGCAACCATGATAACTAGAGCTGCAAAACACCATGACTTTAAATCACTCAGGAAATGGGACAATGAAATACAACTGTCAGTGAGTCCAGGTTCTTCATGGGGACAGGAACTGAGGTAATCACTAACTGCCTATAGACGGGGGCAGAGTGTCCCCCGACAGCCTCTCGATGTTTCTTGAGCTTGCAATGTCTGTGAGAGCACAGATTCTCTGCAGCCTGTTAACTGCTGGTTCTGGGAAGCCTGGGGTTTATCTGCTTTTCTTAGTCCATGCAGCTACTGTGTTTAACTTTGGGATGAAGCCCCCAAGAAGCTTATGGATGAGCCCTCTCCACGACACCCAGGACTCCCTGGCTTGGCTTCAGTGTCATGAGAGGAATGGGGAACAGGTGTGGGGTCATTTCCCAGGGTTCCTGCTGGACCTCACCACAGGTTTCTGTCCCTTTACCCACTTGGAACTTCCCACACTTCATTTCAACTACAAAAGTCAGAACCAACCCAGGTATGTGTGTATGGGCACCACCTACTCTTGAGGTATATACCCCAATGGTAATTTTTGTAGTTTTTTTTTTTTTTTTAAAGAGTTTTCCAGGTAGCCCTGGCTGGCCTCTCACATAGATGCCCCTGACTGTCCTAGAATTCAATATGTAGACCAGGCTGGCCTTGAACTCACACAGAGTTCAAGAGTGCTGGGAATAAAGGCATGAGTCCCATCGTGTGTGTCCCCCACCCATGTGCCTCCAAGGATGCTTCTTACCTGCAAGGGGCTTCAAACCACAGCTGTTGAATAGAACAGAACATGCAAGGCACCTCAGCCACATCCTCTGATTTTAGTGCTGGGTATGACCGTCCACACCTTTTGTTGACAGAGTTTCTCTATAATTTTGGAGCCTATGCTGAAACTTTGTAAACCAGGCTGGCCTTGAACTCACAGAGGTTTGCCTGCCTCTACCTCTCAAGTTCTGGAATTAAAGGTGTGTGTACTGCCGTCTCCAGTGTTCAGGGGACAGAGGCAGCCTGATCTCTGAAGTTTGAGCCTAGTGTGGTCTACATAAGAAGGTCCAGGCTTTGAAAGGAGCCCTCAGATTCTACTTCGCATGGGTTCCTGCCAGGGTCACTTAGCCTGGGTTCTGTTGGCCTCAGTCCTCCAGCCTAGATCTTACCCAGCATCATTCCCACCTTGTATTTGGCAGTTTTCAGTTGGTCCACACAGCCTGCACTCCCTAACCTCACAAATGACCCTCTTAGGTGCCAAAGATGACTATAGCTGATCAGGGGAGGAGGGAGTCTATGGCCTTCTGAAGGCTGGCAATCAACAGAGCCAGTGACTGAGCTGGCTGGGGAGATGGAGTGGAGGCCTCACTGACATGACTGCTTACCTCTCCACTGCCAACCAGTGTGAACCAGAGCAGGCTCTCCTCATGAACAGCAGTGGCCTCAGACATGAGGTCTGCAGCCCTGGACTCCAGCCATAGCTCAGGGAGGGAGGGAAGGAGGGAGCTACTCACTGGAAGATGGACTCAGGCACCAGGATCCAAGCAACCCAGAAACTTACTTGCATGAATGTGTGACACTCAGTCACAAAGTCCCCTTTGGTGATTTGTTTGAATTTGTCACAGATGTCTGGAACACTTTTGGCTTCCAATATAAATTCCTGGTGTTGCTTAATTAAGGTCAGAGCAACCCGGAAGATGATCTTGGAACCTTCATTGAACAAACAGTCCCAGATCCGTAGCACAGTCTGTAGAGACAGAAATACCCAGTCACTCTGCAGCAGCCCACACAGCCCCTGAGGGTTATCAAGGTGCTCACCTCCACTGGCAGGATGTCCACAAACAGGCAGATGAACCATCGAGACACTAGCAGGGTCCATAGCACACCATGGCCATCCATCAGGGCTGCCACCGCTGGCAACTTCATCCTCACCAGCTCTGCTAGGACCTCCTGATCCGTCTTCAGTCCCAGCATTGCCGGGCTATAGTAATCTGTCATGTAGAGGGATAGAGGAACTGAGACTCAGGTCAGTAGCATGGGACAGAGGCCCAAGTTTCCAGGTACTTGGGAGACTAAGGTCAATGCCTGCTTGAGCTACAGAGATCCAAGGACAGCCTAGTTATTTCGTGAGCCCATTTCAAAATGAAAGATAAGAAGAGGGCTCAGTGGCAGAGCATTTGCATAGCATGCACAAGGCCCCTGGGTTTCATCTTGATTTTGCGTGCGCGCGCGTACGCACACACACACACACACCTCTTCCATGGAGGAGCCTTGAGGACCCCAGTTTACTAACTAAGTCACAAGAAACAGGCCCCGAATAATTCTATGAAGTCTCAGGACATCAGATTCACAACACTGCTGAACGATGAGGAGAGGGAGTCACAGGTTAATGGGACAGTTTCAGGTTCTCAGGGCTGGGATATAGCTCATTTGGCACAGTGCTTGTTTTATCTAGCATGCAAGAAGCCCTGAATTTGACCCAGTACCGAATAAAAGTAGGTATGGTTGCACACACCTGAAATCCCAACATTTGGGACATGTAGCAATTGGCTACATAAAGTGAGTTTGAGACTAGCCTGGGCTACATGGTGGGATGGAGGAGAGCAGAAGAAATGGGGGAGTAAATGTTAGGGTGGTAAATTTTATAATCAAATTCACACAAGTGCATCCAACAGCATTTCACTTGAAGGCATGTGCTTTGCCAAAATATTTTTGGGTTTACCTACTTAATTTTTTTTTCCTCAACTTACAATTCCTTATTCAATGGAGGGGGGGATTGGCACATGAGGGTCATGCCTGCCATACACATGTAGATCAAAGGACAACTTTAAGGGCTTAGTTCCCTATGTTAAACAATGTGGGTTCTGGGAATCAAACTCTGGTAGTTAATCTAGGAGACAAGTGGCTTTGTCAACTGAGCCATCTTACTGACCTTCCTACTTATTTTTTTTAACTTTTTAGGGCACTGTTATTATTAATTTTAATGCTTGGTTTACGCTACAAAAGAAATCAGTAAGCCTGTGATAAAACAAAAAACAATGGAACACTAATTACACACCAACAGTATCTTCTCCATGAAGTGAACACACAGTCATTGTGTCATAGGATGAGCAGTCCACACTCATTTAACATCGAGGTTGGAACTGAACCATTCTACAGACATGGAGTTCCAGGGCAGCCTATCTCAAAAAAAGAAAATGGGAGGGGGAGGAAGTGGAGGGAAGGAAGGAAGGACAGTCTTTTACACATTTCCTTTGAATCTGCCTCTTGGAGCCTTTTCACCATTTGCTCTCTGCCTTGTTTCTGTTGTTAACTTATTCTGGGTGTTTCTGGGTGATGTTGGTGATAGTGGTCGTGATAGGTTTCTGAGATAGGTTCTCTGAACACCAGGATGACCTACAATTTGTGACGCTCTTGCCTTGACCTCCTAAATGCATGGATTACAAGCTAGGATTACACTCCTGGCTCTTCCTAACTGTTCATCCTGTTTAGCTGGGAGAGGCGTGTGCAAAGACAACCAGGCCGTCCCCAGCTCTGTCATCAGCTCAGCAGAGGGAAGGGTGCTGAGCAGGAACAGCAGGGAAGATTTGCAAAGGAGCATTTTGTGACCTTGGCCCTGCTTGGAAGCTTAGACCAGCTTCCAAAAATAGAGATGTTAAACTCATGCCCCGAACCCCACGGCACTGAGACGTCTCCCAGAGGAGGATTACATTAACCCACTCACCTCCACACTTTGCTACCACTCTCCTGTGGAAGCCAGTGCAGTACTACCCTCGGACGGTAGGTGTGACCACAGTGCACAGATGGCCAGAGCCATGCAGTCCTAGCTACAGGGAGTGCCTCTCCTATTCCAGGGGCATCTATGCCTTTGTTCATAGCCCCATATCCAGGCTCAGCCCCAGCATCCTGGCTGCCCCAAGAAAAGGTAGAGGTTGCCAAGTTCTGTCAGTGGTATGGTCTGCAAGTGACTACTTTTTCACTTAACACTTTTCATTCTGCATGGTTTCTAGTTGAAGATGTATGCATTCTGTGTCACACTCCACCTGTTTGGTTCCAGTCACAGGTAAAGGACATGTCAAAGCACTTAATCACAAGTACCAATGTACAGGAAGCCCACACTGGCGGGCAGAGAGGCTCTGCTGGGAATGAGGGAGCTGTCACCTTTTGTTAGCAACCACCATGGAGACCAGCTTGGCCCTGCAAGCAGCCTAAACGAAAAGAAAGAGCTGGACGTTGGTAGCGCAGGCCTGTTATTCCAGAACTTGGGAGGCAGAGTCAGGAGGACCTTTGTGAGTTCCAGGCCAGCCTGCTCTACAAAGTGATTTCCAGAACAGCCAAAAGAAACCCTGTCTCAAAAAAGAAGAGGAGGAAGGATGGAGGACGGGAGGGAGAGAACATGAACCAGCTGAATATTGTGGCACACTTTGCAATTCCAGCATTCAGGAGGCAGGACTGATGAGTTTGAGGTTAGCCCAGTCAATATACTGAGTTCCAGGCCAGCCAGAACCACAGAGGAGTTGGGAAACAGGGCTAGATTGGTGGTAGTGGCAGGGGTGGGGGATGAGAAGGAGAGGAAGAAAGAATATGAGTCATCCTTGATGGTGGCAAATGCTGTTTGGGGAGTGAAAAACAGCTGAAGTCACAAAAAAGGCAGAAAGTCCTAGTCCAGAGTTCAGGGCAGACCCACCAGACAGAATCCTTAGGCTTGGGTGGCATCAGGGTCTATAGAAAAAAGGGATAGCCTGGCCCACTGTGCTGACACATCTCACTGTAGCAGGCTGGGGGTGCCTGCCTGCAGATGAAATATTTGGAGAAAGCTGTGTACAGAGACATCATCTCCTGGGACAATGAAGAAAGCTGAGCCTTGGGGCCAGAGCAATCACATTGTATGAGCCTATGAAACACACCCTGCACACCCCAGCTGTCTGTTACCAGTGAGGGTCCCAGGTCCAGAGGTCCAGCCCTGGAGACCAGTGCCTTTCCCTTGCTGTAACCAGGGGTCATCACTCTAGGTCTGTGTCCAGACCACAGACCCTCACCCCAGCTCTACCTACCAGGACACAGCCACATCCCTAGTTAAGTGACATGCTGAGGATCGCTCCCAGATGTGAGGCTAAAGGGCGAGATGGGAGTCCAGGGACATGTGCCACCTACCTGTTCTTCATGGTAAAAGCTCAGCGTTCTTTCGTTTTGTCCTGAACCCTAGCCATATATATATATATGTATTGGCTGCACACAAGAGAGAGGGACTTCAGCCTACAGAATGTCACCTGTGTGACTAGTCCAAAAGCTACTCTGGCTGTCACAGTGCCTGCACTTGAGTCTCCTTGATCACAAGGGTAGATGAAACAAGGCATTCTGGGAGAGGCCATCTTCCCTAGCATGTCTCACGGTACACTGCCAAAACTTCTGTCTTACCAGTTAGCTATTCCTACTGGTGCCTAACTCACACATTATCACACATGTGCACCCGGGAAAAAGCAGCCCACCGAGGCTCAGTACCCAGGACTCCGTGTTTTGGGATGCACCCTGCAGTTGGAAGTGGCACTACATTCCCTTCTGCACTCCCTCAGGGTGTCCCTTCACTCTTCACCGTCCTGTCGTAGTCTCCCAGGTGCCAGGGCTACAGTGTGTGCCACCATACCCAGCATACACTGTTCTTCCTAACGCATGAGAAGAGCTTCTGTGGGTCTGAGGTCCATATCTTCCTTCCATTCCTCGATGACAGAACTTGGGAAAGTAATTGGTGATCATGAGCAATAAAAGTAACCAGACTGTAGAAGACCTCACAGTGGGAAGCAAGGGATGGAGTACATGCAGCCCCTGCACTGGGAAGCTGGGCATGGTGTACTAACTGTGTCACCAGTAAGGACCACACACTCTCTCCACACTAGAAGCAACCTCACTCGTGGCATCTTTCACTAACTGCTGACATGGGCTTTTTCCCCCCCCCCACTTGAGATGGGGTCTCACTATATTGCCTTGGATGAACGGGAACTCGCTATATAAACCAGGCTGAACACAAACTCAAACTCATGAGCTTGCCTCTGCCTCCTGAGTGACGGGATTAAAGGTTTGTGCCTCCGTGCCCTGTCTTAATTAGTGTTTCTATTGCGGGGAAACACCATGACAAAAAGCAAGGTGGGGAGAAAAGGGTATATTTGGCTTACACTTCTATATCTCTGTCCATTATAAAGGGAAGTCGGGGCGGGAACTCAAACAGGGCAGAGCGCTGTTAACTGGCTTGCTTCCCATGGCTTGCTCAGCCTGTTCTCTTATAGAAGCCAGGGGTGGCCCCACCCACAGTGAGCTAGGCCCTTTCCATCAATCATCAATCAAGGAAATGTACCACACACACTTGCCTACAGGCCAGTCTTGTGAGGGCATTTTCTCTGTTGAGGTTCCCTCTTCCCAAACGACTCACTCCAGCTTGTGTCAAGCTGATACTAACTAGCCACCTCACGTCCCTACCTCTGTGCCTCATGAACTAACAGAAGCAGCAAGATGTGCTTGCTTCTCTCCAGTGAGTCTATCCAGCATGTCCCTACCACACATCTCAGCAAGGACATATCCTGCAGTCGTGCCTCAGAACCCAGGCTCAGAGAAGACAACAGTGGATTGGCTTGGAGCTGACACATTCCCTAAGCCTGCAGTCTCATCTGTGAAATGAGCTTGACCAAAATGAACACACTAAACTTAGGCTGATGTGAAGATAGGTTTGAAGTTTAGCAGGAACTAGGAAAACAACCCAGGCCCAAGGCCACACACCCTCTCATGTTGTAAACACCCTTCTGAGGGACCAGGCACAGGGCTGGACAGGCAGGAAATCCTATCTGCCCCAAGTCATCTCCCTCAGGACAGCACTAGCTCCTCCCAGTAGCCCTCACTGCAGCCTATGGTCTACACTGGCTTTACTACACTGGCTATTCATCTCTATTAATGACTAGAAGGCAGATAGATTTGAAAAGGACTTCCAACTTACAAAGTAGCAACACTTGTCAACAGTGTGCTGGGTTCTCACAAACTGTGTAGCTCATGTGTGATAAACTCAACTACATAAAGGCCACACACACAAGGAAGGAACCAGGAGGGCACATGGCCAAAGGCAAGCCCACACCCTTAGCAGAGACCACAGAAACCCAATTCTTAACTTCGGCTTCCACAAACCGACTGTTTTCACTATATTTTTCCCTCTCCTTTTCTCTCTCCCCCCCCCCTCACTCTCTCTGTCTGTCTCTCTCCATTGTTGGGGATTAAACCCAAGTCCTTCTTCCTTCATAAAAGCCAGAAAGTGTTCTGTCCCTGAGTTACACCCCAGCCATTTCACTCCATTCTGACTGGCCAGCCAGACTTTTTCAAAGATGCCAGAAGTAGGGTGGGATGGGGTGGGGTAGGAGGTGGGGCAAAGAGAACTTTGAACCTACCAGGCAGTATTCTTCCAACAAGAGCATCCAAGAGCCAAAAAGATTCCTCTTCGTTCTTGGTGATAAGGATCAGATATCCTGCTATGAAATTCATTCCCTGAAACCAGGATGGAAAACAAACTTGACCCCGAGTTCTAGACAAGGTGCAGTGTTTTAGCTCACCACGGGTTTACATTCTTCTGCCCTTCCTGGAAATCTGTGACATTCTAGTGCAGTGGTTCTTAACCTTCCTAATGCTGTGACTCTTTAATACACTTCTTCATGTTCTGGTGGTCCCCAACAATAAAATTATTTTCATTGTCACTTCAAAACTGCAATTTTGCTACTGTTATGAACTATAAATATCTGATAGGCAGGATATCTGATATGTGGTCCCCAAAGGTGTCAAGACCCACAGGTTGAGAACTGCTGCTCTCGACCCACCTCTGCATAGCTCAGAAGAGCCCCAAGGCTAGTTGTCAGCCATTCAAAGAGGGATTGCAGCCTGGAGAACACCGACTGCCACTCAGGATATAAAACCCAAGGCTCTCTCCTCCTACTGCTGGCCTGTGGTACAGTTGGTGGTGATGAACCTGATGACCAATCTGACCAGCACAGAGCTCTGGCAGGGGGGAACCTACTAGTGACTTTATAATAGTCAGCCAGGACTGGTGACACAGTCTATATGCCCAATGTCTTAGGAAGCTGAGGTAGGAGGACCACGAGTTCAAGGCCAGCCTAGGTAAATGACAGAGACTCTGACTCAAAATAAAAAAATGAGAAGAGGCCCGTGGAATAGCTCAAGGGTAAGGCACTCACTTCTCATGTTCAACTCTCAGTCCCCCACAAAAGACAAACAACAAAAACTAGTAAGGACCATGGTGCTGACTGAAGGCGTAGGGCAATGAGATGGCAATCCCTACAAGGAAGATGCTACCTGGAAGCCAGGGAGAGGCCATGGCCCTTGAAGCTTCTGGTAGAACTAGGGACGTGTGCTCCTGTCACTACTGGGAGGATAAAGCCTTGCACAGCTTCTGTCTTCCTCCCTTTTGTCCCGTCTATACTTCTAAAATAATCATGAGTTCCTTTAGAAACAAGGGAAGAGATCCAGCTTCCCACAACAGGTAGGCTCAAGTAACATGAAATGGGCACCACAGGTGAGGTCTGTACAAAGATACACTTACCAGGAGCCAACACCCACTGCTGGGCTCACAGCCTCCAATACCTCTGTTCTGTACCTCTGCTCAGAATGTCCCCAAGAATCAGATTCCACGCACAGGTAAGATGCACAGGGGCTTGGGGGTGGCCCTGGTAAAGTGTTTGTCCCACACTTGAATTCAGGACCCCAGTACCCATGTGAAACGGCATGTGGTGATCATCTCAGTACTGGGGAGGTGGAGACAGAAGATTACCCTAGGACTTGCAGGCCAGCCAGTCTGCCTAAGTTAGCAAGCACTGGGTTGAGTGAGCGCAGAGGGTCATGTCCTAAACGCAAAGTGAAGAGTCATCTATAGGACAAGACACTTGATGTCAGCCCCTGGCCCCCACATGCAGATGTATGCACAAACTCATGACAGGCTATGTCTTGCCCACAAAGGCTGAATGAAGCTCAGTGACAAGAGAACTTTTCAGTCTTGCAAAAGATTCAAAGTCCAACACCAAAAAAGAAAAGAAAAATGGAAAGTGCAAATCCAAGGTACCATGACAGCATGGAGGCCAGTAACAGCTCTATGTTCCTGGGTCAGAGTGAAAGCTACTGGGAAAACGCCGGCGCCAGCATGGGAATGATGCTCACACAGAAGCACCTGTACAAAGTCAGCACAACTTCATCCAAAGAGAATGCAAAGCCACGTGTGATCACTTTACAATTCCCCATGTCATGGGCGAGACTGTGTCCCTGTGGTGGTTTGAAAGAAAATGGTCCCCATAGAGAGTGGCTTTGTTGGAGTGAGTGGGTATGGCCTTGTAGGAGGAAGTGTGTCACTGTAGGGGCAGGCTTCAAGTCTCCTATGCTCAAGCTTTGCTCCTTCCCATTCTGTGTCACTCAATGTCATTCCCGTTGTCTCCAGATTCCATCCTCTTCTGTTCACTGTGACAGCACAAAGTCATCCAGCAGGTGTCCCCTGCTTTTCCACCAGGGACATACACAAGCTAGGTCTACTGTGAGGGAGGTGTCCTGGCCCAGAGCTCATGAGCCAGGAACAAAGCTTGCACCTACAAAATGTCACTGCCATGAACCTGTGGCGTGTCAAACGACTCCCCCACACACATGCCAGCTCTAAGGCTCTGGGGGCTCACCTGGCAGTACCCCACACCTTGGTTGTGTAGCCCGTATGCCAGCAGCACATTGTATAGGGTCTTCTGAAGACAAGGCTCTGACGTCTTCCGGAACCTCACGTTGTCAGGGAATGTCCGGTTCAGGTCTGCACAGAAATGCACCAGTGTCACCATCAACCCCCTGCATCTGCCACGGTGGCCAGACTCTGCCTCAGATTTCAGGATCGGCACTACCTTGGCTATACCTGAGGCACCTCAGGCACCTAGACACCACCTCAGGCATGCTGTACACCTGATCTTAGCACCAGGAAAGGCAGCAGTATGGGTCCCAGTTTTCTTTCCGAATTGGGAATGGCAGGTAGCTCCCTGGAGCTATGGTCTCCTCTGGACACTCCCAGGTACCCTGTCGGCGTGGGGGAAAGCTTCCAGATTCAAAAATCAAATACACAAGACTAGGGCTGGGCATGGAGCACACCCCTCTCTAATCCTTTAATCCCAGTACTCTGAAAAGAGGAAGTCAGGTTTCTATGAGTTCAAGGACAACCTGCTCTACATAGGGGATTGTGAGTCATCCAGGGCTACATAATGGAATCCTGTCTCAACAAACAACAGGCTAGCTTTGGTAGCTCAAACCTGTAACCACAACACCCAGGAGACCAAGGCAGGATGAGCGCAGAGTTCAGGGCTAGCCTGAGCTATAGAGTGAACTGCAGTTTCAAAAGAACTGAAACAAAACACCCAGAAACATATGAAGGAGAGCAGGCCAAGACTCCCTTCAGAGATAAAATGATACCAGGAATTAAGGAAATGCACGCTCCCGGGCTCTGTGCAGAAGCTTCTCTGCCCTGCCCCTTCCTGCTGTCACAGCCCTTCACCCTCCATAACCTCCCAGACCCAAAACATCTTCCCTGGAACTGTAAACATTCCATGACGCAGATGGTCACAGGAACAGCAGCCTCTCACTACTTCAGACTACCCATGCAGGCTGTGTTCACCCTACATGGCACCTTGACTGTGACATTTCCCCCACATGTTAGGGTCTTTCTATGATGTAGGGAAGAAAGCTGAATGTGGATAAGGCTTGTGGCCCTGTTTGTGCAGCATCAAAGTGGTTCTGTGGACATGTAAAGTCCACCGTGTGGTCGTCTATGATGGTTTATCCAGACATTCAAAAGTAACCAGGCTGGGATGTGGCTTAGTTGGTAGAGTGCTTGTCTACATGTAGAAAACCCTGGGTTTGATCCCCAGCACCACATAAACCAGGCATGGTAGCATAAACCTGTAATCCCAGCACTCAGAATGTAGAGGCAGGTCTGGAAAACCAGCCTAAAATAAAGGTACTTGTCACCAAACTTGATTGGCCTGAGCTCTATCCTTGGTACCCACATAATGGAAGGAGAGCCAATTCCCACAAGTTCTTTAATCTCAGTCCTCTAACCTCCATATATCCATAGAACACACACACACACCCCCCCCCCCACACACACACTAAATAAATAAATAAATAAATGTAATTTTAAAAACGAAAAGCAAGCCAGTACGGTGGATGCGCATCTTTAATCCTAGCACTTGGGAGATAGAGACATGCAGATTATGAGTTGAAGCTAGCCTGATCTACATGGTAAGTTCTAGGCCAGCCCAGTACTACACAGTGAGGCCCTGTCTCAAAAATAAATAATTAAATGGCCACATGATAGAGCTTACACGCGTCCCACAGGATCTACATACAGTAAGAGACAAAAACAGAATGACACGTGCTAGAGCTAGAATGTAGGAGGACTGTTGTGTGAAGATGTGTCTTTGCCTAGGCACCTTCTGACTAGTTTAATAAAGAGCTAAATGGCCAATAGCAGGCAGGAGAGGATAGATGGGACTTCTGGGGAGAGAGAGGTTCTGGGGAGGAATCTGAGGGGTGAGGAATTCTCCAGCCAGACAACGGAGGAAGTGGTATGCAGGGTACTGAACAAAGGTAATGAGCCACATGGCAGAACATAGATTAATATAAATGGGTTAATTTAAGTCATAAGAGCTAGTTGGGAACAAGCCTAAGCTAAGGCCAAGCTTTCATACTTAATAAGAAGTCTCCTCATCATTATTTGAGAGCCGGTACTCCAAAGAAAGTCCGAGTGGAGAATCATTAGTGTTTACAGGGGACAGTTTCAGTTTGGGAAATAAAAAATGAACTATGATATGCATATTTTTCTACAATTTTTTTCTTCTAAAATATGCACTAAACAGAACCTTTAAACTCATTTTCCAGACAAATAGTGATAGTCTATTGTATCTAGGACACAGGAGGCTACCTGAGGACTTGGGCAGAGAACTTCAGCACCACTGGCTCTCAGAGAACCACAGGCAGAGCTTCTGTTCTGAGACCTCTGGCTGGGTTCCATATCCCTTCAGACTGCTTCAGGGCCGGCCCCCTCCACAGACTGCCTCAAATCCCCCCCACTGCCTCAGCCCCCCCAGACTGCCTCAGCCCCCCCCACTGCCTCAACCCCCCCAGACTGACTCAACTCCCCCCACACTGCCTCAACCCCCCCAGACTGACTCAGCCCTCCACTGCCTCAACCCCCCCAGACTGCCTCAGCCCCCCCCACTGCCTCAACCCCCCCAGACTGACTCAACTCCCCCCACACTGCCTCAACCCCCCCAGACTGCCTCAGCCCTCCACTGCCTCAACACCCAGACTGCCTCAGCCCTCCCACTGCCTCAACCCCCCCAGACTGACTCAACCCCTCAGACTGCCTCAACCCCTCAGACTGCCTCAACCCCCCCACACTGCCTCAGTTTCCCCACCCCCAGACTGCCTCAGCTCCCACAAGCCCTAGCCATGTGAAGGGAGGCTCAGGAGGGCAGTGGGGGCTGCAGAATGGTCCTACCCATGGCAGGAACAAGCTGTCTCCTCAGCTTCTGTGCTCTGTTAGGTAATATAAAACTCCAGCACTTTGTGTTTACACTAGTATTGTTCACTGGAGTTTGCCCTTTGGAAATGCAGCTGTAGTTCCTAAATATTAATATAATAATATTCAATTTATGTTAAACTCTGAGCTTTTGGGGATTGTAGGGTTTGTTATTGTTTGGCCTTCCTCTGTGTGTGTGTGTGTGTGTGTGTGTGTGTGCGCGTGCGCGCGTGCGCGCGCACACACGTGTTTTCTTTTTATCTTTGGTTTTGAGACAGAGTCTCTCTATGTGGCCCTGGTTGTCCTAGAATTTGCTATGTAGACCAGACTAGCCTCGAACTCAGAGATCCTCCCGCCCTAATGTTGTGCACCACCCTGCCTGGCAACTCTTGAGCATAGGCCTCCCACCTGTCCTGATGGCTTCCTCCAGGCTGGGACTACACTCTCCCTCGAGCAGTCGCCGGTAGTATCCAGGGTTCTGGTCCATCTGGGCCTGGGCACCACTCATAGCCATCCAGACACGGGCCCGGTGCTCCAGTGGGATTCCCTTCCGGACATAGCGCTTCACTGAAACCCAGAGAGACTGAGGTGAGCTAAGAGCCCAGGGGATCAGAACAGAAATAGTCCACAAGACCTCTGAAATGGAGCACACTAACCACTCACTTCTAATGCACCGACTAGCTAGAGAGGGGACAGGCTAGGTTGCAAGCTCATCTGCAACCTCTACCACCAGCCCCAAAAGCTACATACCCTCAACTCTGAGGAGAGAGGGATTCTGTCCAGCCTCTTGTTCTTGGCCCCAAAGGGCCGTACATCCTGTTCACCACAATGAGTAGACCCATTGTAGGACCAAAGAGTCCAGCTGGGGTGAGGCTCAGTAGAATAGAACGTTTGGCATGTACCAGGTCCCAGATTCAATGTGCAGAACCAAAAGAGACAAAAGTTTTAAAAGCCTAGCTGGGTGGGGGTAGGGGTAGGATGCAGGTAGAGGTGTGGATTATCTGCTGAATACCGGAGCTTCAGGTAGAGAGGCAAGGGCAAGGGACTTGGGGGATGGGCGGGGGTTACTCAAGGACCTTGAACAGCAACCAGAACTGGTCCAACCTGGAGGAAGGCAAGCAAGATGGTCAGGTGTGACTCAGCACATGGCTATGGGAGGGGGGGCAAAAGCTAGTGGGGGGCCAAAGATGTGCTCTCTGTAGACCCCAGGAGCCCAGAGGGACCGCTGCTTTAGCACAGGTCTCAATCCCTTTGGAGGTAACTCTCTCTTGCTGATCACTGCTTTATCTTGCAGGGACACTTTTATTGAAAGCAGTAAAAGCACCTGCTACCACCAAGCCTGGTGACTTTGATTTGATCCTCACAGTTGAGGCAGCTGGAGAGAACAGATGCCCACAAGGTGTCTCCACACATTCACACCCTTGTCTCATCTCACAGCTGTATCTAGGCTGGGCTGCTGCTACCTTAATGACAGTTTCAATATTTGCCTTCTTCAAAGCAAACACTCAAAGCTTTGCTGTTCGCCTCTGACATTGCATTATTTTAAAAAATCATTACTTTGGGCCCAAGAGTTGGATCAGTGGTTAACAGCACTTGTTGCTCTTGTAGAGGATCCTGGGTTCAAGTCCCAGCACCCATATGGCAGCTCACAACCATCTGTAACTCCAGGCCTAGGAGATCTGATGTCCTCTTCTGATCTCCTTGGACACTGGACATGCATGTGATACACATTTGCACATGCAGAGAACACACACACATTGAAAAAAGATTGATTACTTTTAAATGAGTGCTATAATTTGGATGTTAACTGACCCCTGCCCGTGTATCTAAAGCGTGGTCCCCAGAGCAGTGCTACTAGGAGGAGCCTTTTAAAGGTGGCATCTACCACGGTCTTTAGGTAACTGCAGGTTCTGCCCTTGAAGGACTGTGGGATGTTCTTCCTCCTCTTCCTCTCTCTCCTGGCCATGAGGTCAGTGGGGATACCCAACTCTGTCTCCTGCCTCAATATGCAAATGCCAGGCCTAAAGCAGCAGAGACAATCTCCAAACCCAGAAGCCCCAGCAAACCTTCTCTCTCAGGTATGTGTTATGGTAACAGAAAGGTGACTAATACTGAGCTGGAAAAGGGAAATAAAAGCACATGCAACTAGTGAGATCCTACCAGCCATCATGAAAAAAGAAAAAACCTGGGCTCAGAATACAGCTTAACCGTATGGCATTTGCTTAGCATGGGATCCTAGGTTCAATTCCCAGCACTACAAAAAAAGAAAAGACCTGAGGCACCATTTCTGTCCAGCAGATAAATCATAAAAAACTTCAGGTGGCCTGGAAAGGTGGGTTAGCAGGTAATGGCACTTGCAGTGAAAGCTTGGTGAGTTTAGTCCCCAGGATCCACATAAATCCATGGGGAAGGTGGAAGGAGAGAATTGACTGGACCCAAATACCTATACACACACACCCAAATACCTATACACACACACACACACACACACACACCCAAATACACACACACACACACACACCCAAATACCTACACACACACACACACCCAAATACCTACACACACACACACCCAAATACCTATATACACACACCCAAATACCTATACACACATACACACACACACCCAAATACCTACACACACACACACCCAAATACCTATACACACACACACACATACCCAAATACCTATACACACACATCCAAATACCTACACACACACACACACACACACACCCAAGTACCTATATACACACACCCAAATACCTATACACACACACACACCCAAATACCTACACACACACACACACCCAAATACCTATACACACATACACACACACACCCAAATACCTACACACACACACACACCCAAATACCTATACACACACATCCAAATACCTACACACACACACACACACACACACACCCAAATACCTATACACACACATCCAAATACCTACACACACACACACACACACACACACACCCAAATACCTATACACACACATCCAAATACCTACACACACACACACACACTAATGTTCTAAAGCTGACTATAAACTCACAGTAACAGAAACAATCTGGTATCGGTGAAGGATTAGATCAGTGGATTCATGGGACACAATAAAGAACACAGAAGTAGTTGTCCAGAGGTTGACTCAGTGGTTAAGAGCACTAGTTCCTCTTCCAGAGGATCTGGGTTCAATTACCAGCACCCACACACATGCACGAAAAATACCCATAAACATAAATTTTTTTTTTTTTTTTTTAAAAGCAATGCAGAGAAACAGGCTCACACAAAGAAAGCCAATTGCTTCTTGACAAAAGTGGCAAAGGAAATTCAGTGCAAAAAAAAAAAAGAAAAAAGAAAAACAAAAGTCTGTCCAAATAAAGAATGGTTTAAATAAACAAATAAATAAACAAACAAAAACCAAGCATCGTAAAAGTTGCAGTCAATGAAGCCCCACAGAATGGTGAGAATGCAAAAATGCACAGCCACTTTGGAAAACACTTGCAATTTCTTTTCCAGCTCCCCTCCCCCGCCTCCTTTTAACTCTGTGATCAGATAGGCCTGACACATGCTAAGCAATGAAATACCTTATGAGTTAAGCCTTTAATATAATCTAGCAATCCCAGCATTTATTTAAGAAAACCTACATTCACACCAAAGCCTATAGGCATTTTTACCATTGGCTTTCATACCCAGCGTGTCAATTAATGAGCAGATAGGTTGAGAAACACCTCAGCAACAGAAGGAATGAGCCACACTGATGCACAGCACACAAGACCCTAGATAAACCAACCGCTAGTGCAGTGGTTCTCAACCTGTGGGCTGCAACCCCCAAACACATACACACACCCCAGAGGTTGCATATCAGTATTTACACTACAATTCATAAAAGTAGCAAAATTACAGTTATGAAGTAGCAATGAAATTATTTTATGGTTGGGGGTCACCAAAACATGAGGAGCTATATTAAAGGAAGGTAGCATTAGGAAGGGTGAGAACTAGAGTCTGGTGCAATACCAAAACCAGACTCAAATGCTGCAGCCTAGCCAGGCAGTTACACAGCATCCTGGGAAGGCTGACTCAGAAATGACTGACAAGGAATGATCCATGGTATTTGGAAAGTGATGAAACTTTTACTTTTTCATGAGCATAGGAGGTGCACCAAAGAGCAGGTACCCACAAAGGTACTAGACCCCAGAGCTGGAGTTTTATACTTTAAACAGTCTGACATAGATACTGGGAGCCAAACTCAGGCTCTCTCCAAAAGCAATATGCACTCTCAGCTGCTGAGCCATCTCTCCAGCCACCCCCACCCCGCTGCTAACTTTTTCAGTTTTTTGAGATAGGACCTAGCTAGCCTAGAACTCTATGTAGAATGCTATGTGGACCAGGCTGGCTTCAACATTACTTATGGCAATCCTCCTGCCTCTGCCTCTGCCTCTGCCCCTGCCGATTACAATTAAAGTTCCGCTGGCTCTGGTTTGAATTGTAACTGTGTTTTGCTGTTTGTCTAAAATCCTTAAACTGTACATTCATAACAGTGAGTTTCACTATCAATTTTAAAAATAATTTAGTAAACAAAATAACAAAATTAAGAAAAAATAATTTAGTAATATAAGGTATTTTTGTTAATGTGTTATTTCATTTTTTTTAAGCAAAGGACAAAATAAAATAGTCCCACACATCAGTTGGAGCACTGATCAATATCTTCTCTGCTAAGGCTTCCTAGCTCCACACCCAAACCTGCCTCAGTTTCTTATCTGTGAAGCAGAAACAGCAGGCAGTCCAGCTGTTGCTGTGGCCCAGAGGCCAGTCTCCATGCACATTTTTACCTTATCTAAATTTACTGTGTGTCTTCGAGGGAATTGAAGGCAGCTTTCTTGCACTCATAGAATGAACTCCTGCTGAGGGCAGGGTTCCCCCACAGAGGTCATTAAACCCTGCAGAGAACCCCAGAGAACTCCCCAAAGAACTAGCTTCTACCTCTCTGCCCCAACCAGGTCAAGCAAAAGCCAAGCTTGGGACATTTGACAGTGAACATGCTTCCACAATTCACTTGGAGTTGAGGTGTGTGATACACTAAAGCCAACAAGGAGGACAAAGAAGCAAATGGCTCCAAGCTTGCTCTCTGAACAGAGAAAGGCAGAACAAAGGGCTGAGTTCAAACTCCCCCTGCTATAGAGAAGGCATGTTCTATTTTTGGGGGCTCCCAGTGGACCTTCACATAGGACGGGAAAACAGTTACCACTATGCCTGCACTTGGTCAGTAGTGTGACTTAAAGCTGTCATATGAGATGTCCTCTAACAACCTATGACCTAAAGCATCCTTTCTCATGTAGACAGAGGGGGCATCCTCAATCAGAAACCTCTTCTGCACATACAAAATACCAACATGGTGACATCCTCTGGCATAGCTGGTGGTCAGTGACCTCTGCATAGATGGCTTGGCCAGTAGCTGACACCCTTTTGCTATGGAAGGTGCTTGCCTTGCACAAACAAGGTCAAGAAGACCCACCTAAAGCCAGATGATGAAAAGAAACACAGGACACCTGAATATGTGGTAAAGAGAATGGAAGGAGTAATAGCCCCTTAATAGGATGTGTACTTACACCCACAAGTCTCCCCAGATCCAGATGCTTACAGACTGCCAGCTTTTCCTCTTCTACCTCAAACAGTAACTCCTTCTCCTCTTCACTCTCCTGGCAGCTGCTGAGCTCTATAGCTTGCCTGTCCTACAGTTTCCTCTCTTGAATGCCAGTAAGATGTCTTTGAGTTTCCTTCCAAACCTGTTTAAAATCTATTACCAACCCCAAGGCATGGTAATGCATGCCTGTAAGCCCAGCACTTGGGAAGCAGGGGCAGATGACGACTGTGAGTTCAAGGCCAGCCCGGTCTATATAGCAAGTTCTAAGTCAGCAGGAGCTTAAAATAGGTTATCTCAGACAAACAAAAATTTATCAGTGAAATCAAAACTTCAAAATGGGATCTCTGTGAATTTGAGGCCAGCCTGGTCTACAAATTGAGTTCAGACAGCCAGAGCTGTTACACAGAGAGACCCTGTCTTGAAAAACAAAAACCCAAGGCAGAGATGGGAGGGGGTGGTCGAGGAGGGAGGGAGGATCCGCAGATACCAATGGGTACTTACTGAAACTCAAGACTGGGTTTAACACGGAGCCCCTGGCTCCTACCCCCATACATGGACACATCTTCCTTGATCATGTGAGCTCTCTCCTAGAGATCTTGCTCTGCTCTTACACTATAGTCAACCTAGGATATCTGGCAGGGATCCCATTTCTGAAGTAACTTGTCTACTCTTGTTTTGTGCTTGATTGACCTTCCTAGCACTACAGCTTCCCTGACTATAAAGTTAGAAACAGGGACACTCTGGAACTCCCAGGACCCCCCCCCCACACCCTGCCAGAACATCAGGACAGCCTGCCTCAGGCTAAGAGTCAGCCAGGAGCCTTAAACCTGTAACCATAATTACAGCCTAATGAATATTACATAATCAAAATAATATTAAAACAAAATAATGGTTTAAAAAGTTAAATTTTTTGGGTGGAGGGGGGAGAGTTCTTTTTAGCCAGGCCTGGTGTGGTGTCCTGTACACTTAATCTCAATCAGCACTCAGAAGACAGAGGCAGGAGGACTGTTGTGAGTTTGAAACCAATCTGGTCTACATAAGAGTTCTATTCCATTCCAGCTCTGACTGCACAGTGATATACCACACACACACACACACACACACACACACAGAGAGAGAGAGAGAGAGAGAGAGAGAGAGAGAGAGAGAGAGAGAGAGAGAGACTCTCTGTGTAGCCCTGGCCTCGAACTCACAAAAATCTACTCAGAGGCTAGGATTAAAGGCATGTGCCATAAAGCCAGCTATCTTGTGTGTGTGTGTGCACACGTGGGCATGCATGTGAGTGTTTATACATGAGTATGTGTGCCCACGGAGGCCAGGGGCATTGGATTCCCAGGAGGCTGTGACCCACTCCACATGGTGCTAGAAATTGAACTTGGGTCCTCTGGGAAAGCAGGAAGCACTCTGCTCTTACTTGCTCAATGTCCTTTCCACCCAACAAGTTTTGAGGTAAGTGTTCAAAAGGAAACCAAACCAGACAACTGCGACCCAGTCCCAGTGGCTGAGGCCTGCAAAGGATCACAAGTTCAAGGCCTGCCAAAGCCCTCAGAAGGACAAGTTCTTGCTGGCATGTGTAAGAAGAGATCTGTGTGGCTGGAGAAATATCTCAATGGTTAAGAGCATTGGTTGTTCTTCCAGAGGCCCTGAGTTCAGTTCCCAACACCCACATGGCAGCTCACATCAGTCTGTAACTCCAGTTCTAGAGGATCCAATAGGCTCACACAGACATACTCCCAGGTCAAACATCAATACACATAAAAGTAAATAAATCATTTTAGAAAAAGAGAGAGAGAGAGATCTGCACAGACCTGCATCTTCCAGTGATAATCAGTCTGGCCTTACCTACCCTCCCAGCCATAGAACAGAAGTCACTTCCTGTACTAAAGGCCAAGTGCTCCTGGGGGACACATTAAGGAGTTGGCAGTGGTTACTTCTGTAGTGGTAGACTAGGTGTGGGAGAAGGAACTTCACTTTGTATCTTTCCATATAACTAAAACATTTACCATGTGCATGACCTATACATTAAGTGTAAATAAAACTTTCTAGCATTAAAAGACCAAAGAAGCAGGTGCTAGCCGGAAGCGTGCTAGCACAGAGACAGGAGGGAACAGAGTGCCCTCTCCCTTTTTTCCCTCCTAGTCCTTCTGACTGAGCCATCCAGCTCCAGAACCATCCTAATGCCCTCGGGGTTACACTGCAGGTCTGTCTACCTGGCCACCTGGCAAATGCCTGCACACAGGCCTTTAACAAATAGGAAGTCCCTATCATCTTCACAACCCAGTGAAACGAACAAAATCCCCTTAAGCAGGGAAGGGCTGTGATTCCAGCAAGGAAACAAATGGGGATCAAATATGATGTAGGGGAAGGAAAAGGAAAAGAAAAAGATTGGAAAGAAATAGTTGTCCCTGTTCAAGAGGAGGAAAGTTTGTCTCAGAATTGGACCAACCAGGAGCCCAGCCTATCTGATACTGAAGCATGAGATCTAGCTGGAGCCCAGTCCCCCACTGCAGCCCCTGCTAGGAAAAGGACATACCCAGAGCCCCACCCTGAGTGTCCCACCCTTACTCAATCTCTGTGAACTAGGCGCTGTTCTAAACCCCCTCAGAACACGAGGCTTCCTCAAGCTTCTAAGTAAGTATGGACTTTGCCCATCTTCAGTTAAGAGGGCGTGGCGACCATGGTGGAACTCCCCAGCCTGCTCTGTGGCTCCCTCACGCAGACACACAAGGCCCTCAGTCAGTGATTGGGCAAGGATCTCCTGGTGTCCCAGGAGTCGCGCTTGGGAGTAGTGGGGATCAACTATAGAGGAGTCCAGCTCCTAGGGAGTTGCTTATGTGTGAGCGCGTGCGCCAGGCGGTGTTCATAGGTCTTGACTATAGGGGTTCATGGCAAGTGCGGGCCCTGCTGCTGAGGAGTCCTATTTTAGAGAGGTCTTGCTGCAGGGGGCCAAGGCGGGTAACCACACTCGCGGGTTGCCCTATACTGAGTTCTACTGCTGGAGACTCTACTGCTGGGACTCTTTAACTGCAGCAGAGAAGCGCTACAGGAGGCCCGCCAGTCCAGAGGTCGCGCTGGGGGTCGCGCCACAGGGGGTCTGGCTGCTGGGGAAAGTCACGTTTGGTTGAATGGCTGCTAACCCAGCCAGCATCAGGCCTCTCACCTGTCAGGCTTTTTCGGATCCTGTCGCTCCCCTTTAGAAGTTTGGACCATTTGATCGCCCTCTTGGTGAGTATCACCAGGTACGTGGAAAAGAATTCTTCATAAGCTTCATAATCAAAGTCTTCCGGCCTTTCAAATCCATACGGATCGATCCTACAAACACAAAAAGAACCTGTTTCCCGAATCAAGTTTCTGCGCCCGCCGGGATGCGGCTGGGGTCCAGGAGCCACCCGACACCCCTCGGTCCGCCCCTCCGTCCATCCTCCGGTCCACCGTCCCTTCCTCTCTTCCTCCCCTCCTCCATCTCCTCCTCTCCTCCGCCCCCCATTCCCCTCTCTTCTCCCCTAGGACCGGAGCGCGTCCCCCGTGCAGCAGCGACCGGCTCAGATCCAGTCCCGGGCGAGCGCCCGGCACCACGCGAGCAGCCTCCGCACCCACCTGGGCACCCGAGCTCGTGCCGCCTGCGCGCGCTCTGCGGGATCCATGCGGAGAAGGGCCGCGGACCGCGGGACTCCAATGCAGCTCAGCCCTGAGCGCTGGACCCCGGTGCGCTGCCGGCCCCGGGGCGCGCGAGTGCTTCCGGCGGGGGCGTGGCCGAGGCGGGGGCGGGACGGGGACTAGGGGAGGGGCCAGTGTGGGGCGGGGCGGTGGGAGGACTGGGCGGGGAATGGGATGGGGTCCCTGTGGGGCAAGGGAAAGCCTAGGGACTCAGGGGGCTAGACGGGGTGCACCTGCTGCAGACTGGCACTAGGTATCTGAAAATGCATCGAGATGGAAACCTTCGCCGAGATCACAGGACCGGGATCCACTTTGCTGTCTTCTAAGAATCCTTCAAGTCTCAGTGCCTGGCTGCTTGGACTTGGGACTTCGAGTGCGAAAAGAAGAAGTCTTTGAAGGCCACCATCTATGGGCGCGCGCTTCTCCAAACCCTGGAACCCGAGATCTAGCCTTAGAATGAGTCGCTGCCTCTCTACTGCATCTTCTCGACTGGAGAAGTCCCAGCGCCGTGGGATACTGCAGGGCACAGTGCCATGGTCCTGGACTTCTTTTGCCACGGTCACCATCATTGTCAGGATCTTGAGATTTCAGATTTTGGGCATGGGAACCAGCTGACCGGTTTTCCTAGCGAGGTGAATCGGAAACCTGTGGAGACATTTTTCAGTCGTGATTCATCTACATGCCGAGGTAAGGCACTGGGCTTTGGCACCTCAGCCACCGGGGTCAGCGGTGGGACAGATTGTACATGTCAGAGAGGTGTGTGTGTGTGTGTGTGTGTGTGTGTGTGTGTGTGTGTGTGTGTGTGTGTGTGTTCCCTTGACAGATGCTCACCTTCTAGAAGTCCCTTCTAAAAGTCCACGAGATCTTCTGGTGTGGTAGGAATAACCCTCAGCTGGACTTTGGGAACTAATGTGGACTAGATAGAAGCCTCGAAGGAGCTAACAGGAAGCCTGGGGGAAAATTAGTTTAATTTTACCTAGTCCATTGGGGCCACTTGTATTGGTCTCAGCACTCTTCTCCATACACCTCGTGTGGACGAACCCGAAGGCTTTGCTGAGAATAAAGATGGCATCCACGGGACCCAGACCCTGTCTCTCAGTCACACAAGTTATCTCCAGGCCTTTGTTTCATTTTCTATAGTTTGTGAGACTACTGTAAGACATGTGGAGAGAATGTCGGTATGTTTTTTTTTTTTTTTACTTTTTTACCCTCTCTTTGCTTTGACCAAAGTGTAATAAACAAGTTTTTTTTTTCTTTTTCTTTCTTTCTTTCGTTTGTTTGTCTAGACAGGGTTTCTCTGTGGCTTTGGAGGGTGTCCTGGAACTCACTCTGTAGACCAGACTGGCCTCGAACTCACAGAGATCCGCCTGCCTCTGCCTCCAGAGTGATGGGATTAAAAGTGTGAGCCACCAATGCCTGGCTTACAAATTTTCTTTACTAAAGTTTGGTGCCTCATCGTTCTTTTATTTATTTATTTGTTTGTTTATTTCTGTTTATTCTATCTGTCTGTCTATCTATCTATCTGTCTATCTATTAAGATAGGGTCTCATTGTGTAGCTCTGGTTGGTCTGCAACTCACTATGTAAACCAGGCTGGTGTTGAACTCTGACAGATCTGCCAGTTTCTGCTGCACCCTACCCCTTCCCTGGGTTTAAAGGCATGCTGGGATTAAAGGCGTGAGCCACCATGTCTAACTCCGTCCTTCTTTTATAATGCATCAAGAAATGAACCTGGGGATCCAGTTAGAGCCACAGCTGATGAAATTTAGTGCTGGCATGAGCAGAACCCCAGATTTCAAACTGATGCCCAGTTTGCTTGATGCTCCTGGGGAAAACTTACAGAGATCCCCACAGCCTAGTTGTGAATGGCTTTTTAACACCAGGTGTCCTTTCTCCCAGGACTGACAGACCTGCCAATCCCCCCTCTGGGACTCAGAACCCACAGGCAAGAAGGACCCCCTTCTTTCCCAGTCATGACTTTCCCCTTGGCCTGGGCACAGAGCTGGAGTGCTGTTTACCAAGAGCTCTCCATATATCTCCTCCTCCTTGTCCTCCCCTTCCTCCTCCATATTTGCTTCTCTCCTCATCTTCTTCTGTATGTATGTATTTAGGTTTTTTGTTTGGGTTTTTTGTTTGTTTTGTTTTTTGAGACAGGGCCCTTCTATGTAGTCCTGTGTCCTGGAGCTCACTATGTAGACCAGGCTGGCCTTGAATACACAAGAGATTCTCCTGTCTCTGCCTCCCAAGCCTGTTTTCTGTTTTCTTCCCTGAGATAGGCTGTTACAGTCAAAACAAATAAAAGACAAAACTCTGTCAATTCTGACAGCCCCCCCTCGTCCCTTTTCTATGTACTACTGGCACCCTCTCTCCAGCAACCCAGCCCAAATGGCATCTTCAACACCCCTCTATCTGCAACTCTCGTCCTTCTATTGATGGAGCTTGGGAGTCCCATCTCAGTCCTTCCTGTGGTCTTGGAGAAAAGCCTGGCCTGTGGCTCTGATGCAGACTGGGAAACATCCATGATCCTCCGTCACTTGAACTTGAGAATAAAGGCATAATCTCCACTGTGAGAGTTTTGTGGCCAGCTATGGCCATAGGGCTGGATGAGGCACTAGTCAGTGAGATAAGAATATCTGTCCTGTGGGAAGGCTGGGGAAGGAAGATACAGGGCTCCAGTAGAGGGTGAATATGACCCTTTTGTCCCACGAAGTACCCACACGGAAACCTAAAGGCCATGTGCCCCTGAGGGAGCCCCATCCCCCACACCAACTATCTTAACATAGCCTGAGCCATGGTGCCCCACAGTGATAGTCCATTCCCTCCCTCCCCAGTCCTAAGCCACCCTTTGAGGCATGAAGTCACTCTAAAGCCTTGGATGGGCAACACTGGGCAGTGAAGTCTGAGAGAGACCTAGCCTTGCTTTAGGAGTTAAGCATTTCTGAGGCTATTCCCTCAGACAGGTCCAAGATGGGTGGGTGGATGGTGGGTGGCTGGGGGTGGATGGTGGGTGGCTGGGGGTGGATGTTGGGTGGGTGGGTGGGGCCCTGGTGTAGAAGAATGAAGATGGCAACAACTGAATCCACTGGCATATCTTCAGTTCCAATACCTAGATGGCCAGCCAGGCATTGTCAGCTCCTTGATGCCCTCCCTCTCCCCTCCCCCTGCCCCATCTTCCTTCCCTATTGCTGTGAGGACACCATGATCACAGCAACTTATAAAAGCAAGACTTTATTGGGGTTGCAATGCCAGGGGGTGAGCCCGTGGCCATCGTGATAGGGAATATGTCTGCAGGTGCAGCACTGAAGCAGTACCTGAGGCCTCACACCTCACAAGCAGGACGCAGGGAGCTTGCCAGGAAGGGCCTGGGCAGGAATCCTGGAGCCCACCCCCAGTGACACACCTCCTCCAGCATGGACAACCTCCTGATCCCTCCCACAGTCCCGCCAACTGGGACCAGGTATTCAAATATGTGAGCTTCTGGAGGCATTCTCATGGAGAGCCCCCCCACCCCCTCCCCCCCCCCCACGGGTGGAGGAGGCAGGGCTGTGGGGACTGAGGGAATCGGAACTCCTAGGGCTCCTTGAATCTGGGGCCAGTCTGTCTCTTGTACACCAACCATTACAGAACTTTCAAAACAGGTAATGGGGTGGGCTGCCTATATTTTCTTCATATAAATTACAGAGTAAAATGTCTGAAACCCTAGGGGCTACAGGTTACATTGTGTGGCACCGTAGGTCCTTTTCTTCCTTCCTTCCTTCCTTCCTTCCTTCCTTCCTTCCTTCCTTTCTTTCTTTCTTCCCTTTCTTACTTTTAAAGATTTATTTATTTGTCAAGTATACAGTGCTGTGTGTGCATGTACCCCTACAGACCAGAAGAGGACACCACATCTCATTACAGATGGCTGTGAACCACCATGTGTTTCCTGGAATTGAACTCAGGACCTCTAGAACCCCAGCTAGTGTTCTTAACTACTGAGCCATCTCACCAGCCTGGCACTGTAGGTCTTAATGCTATAGTGTTACACCAGGGTTTGGGGATCTGTAGAGCCTGGTTAGCTGGTCTTTGGACATACTATCTATGACAGGCTATAGGACCTGTCAGAGGACCGATGGCATAAAGGGAGGGGCAGCTATTGTAGCTTAAAGGAAGCTTAAAGTGCTGTGTGTGGCGGTGGGAGGGGAGGCTACAGAACCAGAGGCAAGATTTACTGGCCCTTGGAGACATGCCATGCTGGACTCTGGGATATGGGGCTTAAGGAGCCACACATCTCTTGAGTGTATGGATGGTGCAGAGACAAGGTATCCAGCCTGCTTATTTGGTGAGTGTTTTTTCATGTGTGGGACTTTATTTTTGCAGTACTGGAGGCTGAATGTTGGGGTTCATGCTTGCTGAGCTGATGCTCTACCCCTAAGCTATGCACCCAGATCACTTTTTACTTTTTCCCTAAGTTGGCCAGACTGGCCTTGAGCTCACTCAGTAGTCCAGCCAGAGGTGCATTTGTGATCCTTCTGCCTCAGCCTGGGATGACAGACCCAGCTGATTTTGTTGTTGTTGCTACAGTCGGAAGAGTCTGTTTTAGCTCATGGTTCCAGGTATAGCCATGATGCCTGCAAGTCAGGGCAGCAAGGATTTGAAGCAGTTGGTTACATTGCAGTGAGGAAGGAGAAAGCAGTGAATGTTTGTACTCGGCTTATGTGGTGGTTTGAATGGGAATGGCCCTCCAGAGATTCACCTGTTTGAGTGCTTGGCTCCCAGTTGGTGGAACTGTTTGCAAAGGATCAGGAGGTGTGGCCTTGTTGGAGCAGGTGGGTCACTGGGAGTGGGCTTTGAGGTTTCAAAAGACCAGGCCATTCCCAGTTAGCTCTCTCTGTCTCTTACATGTGGATCAGGATGGAAGCTCTCAGCCACTGCTCCAGTGCTAAGTCTGTCTGCTGTCATGGTGCCCACCATGATGATCACAGACTCTAACCCTCTGGGACTGGGATCCCCAGAAAACTCATCTATAAGAAGCCTTGGTCATAGTGTCTTATCACAGCTTACTTTCTCTTTTTTAACAAGAAAGTATTTGTATTAATTCTTTGAGAATTTCATACA